ATCGTTACCGACTTGAGTGGGCAAATGCTAACATTTGATGGCGTCTGGCACTTTAGAGAAGTGTTCTCTTCACGGATGAATCCCGGGTTTCACTGTACAGGGCAGATGGCAGACAGCGTGAATGGGTCATGTGTGTGAGTGGTTTGCTGATGTCAACATTGTGAATTGAGTGGCCTATGGTGGCGGTGGGGTTATGGTATGGGCAGGCATATGTTATGGACAACGAACACAGGTGCATTTTATTGATGGGATTTTGAATGCACTGAGATACTGTGACGTGATCCTGAGGCCCATTGTTGTGCCATTCATCCATGATAATGCACGGCCCGATGTTGCAAGAATCTGTATATAATTCCTGGAAGCTGAAAACATCCCATTTCTTGCATGGCTAGCATACTCACAGGACATGGCACCCATTGAGCATGTTTGGGATGCTCTGGATCGGCGTATATGACCGCTTGTTCCAGGTCCTTCCAATATCCAGTAACTTCCCACAGCCATTAAAGAGGAGTGGTCTCCACAGGCCATAATCAACAACCTGATCAACTCGAAGGAGATGTGTTGCACTGCGTGAGGCAAATGGTAGTCACACCAGATACTGACTGGTTTTCGGACCTCCTCGGACCCGTCCAGTACAGTAAAACTACACATTTTAGAGTGGCCTTTAGAGTGGTCTAATCAGCATCTTGATATGCCACACGTGTGAGGTGGATAGATTATCTCAACAAAGGAGAAGTGCTAACTAACAAAGATTTAGACAGATTTGTAAACAATATTTGAGAGAAATAAGCCTTTTGTGTATATAGAAAAAGCCTTACATCTTTGAGTTCAACTCATGAAAAATGGGGGACAAAAACAAAAGTGTTGTGTATATAATTTTGTTCAGTGTATGTATGTATGTATATCAGTATGCATGTATGCCAGTTTGTATGTCTGTTCATATGTCTGTCAGTCTGTATATCTGTCCGTATGTCTGTCCATATGTCTGTCTGTATGAATGTGAGTCTGTATGTATGTATGTCGGTACATGTGTGTGTGTGTGTCTGTATGTCCTTATGCATGTGTGTCTGTATGTATGTTAGTATATGTCTGTGTGTCTGTATATGTGTGTATGTCTCAGTATGTGTGTGCCAGTATGTATGTGTGTATGTCTGTTTCAGTATGTGTGTCTGTTAGTATGTGTGCGTGTGTCTCAGTATGTGTGTATCTTTGTGTGTGTGTATCTGTGTTCTTTTGTATCAGTGTGGGTATTTGTGTCTGTGTGTGTATTTCAGTGGGCGGGCCCCCAAAATTTCTGATGGCAGCACTGACTTCCAATAGCATCATTCAGCATGTTGTAGTAGTTATGGCACTTGGAGTGTTCCATTAAGTACTATATGACCTTACTTATGCAATGCCAAGTTCAAATGAAGTGCACAAGTGCATCTAAGGCATTAAACACATTTGAATGTCTTACACGATTATTGTTTGATTTGTTTTGTATTCTCGTTTTGAAAACCTTTGATAAAATGTTTCAGCTACAATCCTTTTATTACATTTGGAAGAAATTTATTTTTCTTCTTTTGGTCGTCTTCACATGCAGTTGACTTGTTAATGCATGCACTTTCCATCAATATATTTTAAAATAATTATTCAGAATAACTTTCTTTTTGTTTTATTCAACTTTGTTCTACATGATATCACAGGGAAGCAATCGTGGGAAGCTGTAAACTAAATTTAAGTTTGTAATTTATTATATTACGTTTTTTTGGCACGATTTTGGTGCATATAGGGGTATCTTTGTACAACAATTTTATTTTGCATGCAGTTGACTTGATAATGCATGCACTTTCCATTAATTAATTTTAAAACATTTTTTTGAATTTTGGGTGGCAATATTTCAACAAAGGGTAAATATTAAAGTTTTATATTAAAATATTGTATAATTATCTATACTCTGGCTTGCAAAATGGAGTCAACGAAAAATGCAGCGGTCCCCAGGACAACAGTCCAAGTATTACTATTTCACTAATGCATTCTGCAGTCCTCCCACTTTTAAAACACTATATTGATTTTACATAGGCTTAAAAAAATGCTTCCATCAAGATCAACCTTTCTTACATCTGTTTTTGCTGTTGATGATCAAAAATAAGGCCAAAAAAATCCAGTTTGAAGCCCTTTCCAATTTTGCCCTTTTCCAACATATCCCACATATTAAAAATTACATCCCTGAATAATTATATGGAAGTATTCATCCAGCTGCTGTTTAAACATCTGTACAGACGCTAATAAAATCACTTTAATATGCAAAGAATCATACATCCTTATTGTTCTTACTGTAAAGCACATTATTAAAGACATTATTGGCCTACTTACCATAACGGCAGCAATATCCTCTGGGTTATCTCCATCAAGATCAAATTTGAAGGTTACCATCTTATTGTTATATGTCTGCAGTTGGCACTCCACCACTCGGTCACTTTTATCTGAAATCTATTAAAAAGAGAGGAGATATACAATGTGTAAGTATCCGTTTATCACGATTACGGACTCTATTTAGTATAAGTTTTCTAATTTAAAATAACTTCTAGATAGATTTAAATATTATCAACAAAATGCAAAGAGATAACTGCAGAGGTTCCAGGACTTCCCTTAACTTAAGATCGTTCTTCCTCCTATATTTAATGTCTGAGAAAAAAAGAAAAACATGAATATATGGAGTACAGGAGCAGAGGTTGTTCTGGGTTGTGAGTTTTGTCCTTAAAAAATAGACTTAAGCTTTAAAGTCTCCCAGCCAACAAACTATTCAGCTCACCCTGGTACAAATCCTACCCTGCACCAAATTTCCAGAGGTCGACACTAATTGTTACTGAAAAGAATTTAAAAATTATCTGGTTTACCATCAATGCCCTAAATAAATGTAGGTATGAAAGGTTGTCTTCCCTTACCTTTCATTAGAAAATTCTAGGAATAAATAATTGCATATGTTCAATAATTTTGCATTGTCACTTATGTAATGAACTCATCATATGTTCATGTACATATAGGCACTAGAGATGTCGCGAACCGTCCGCGAAGTTCTCGCGAACGGTTCGCTGCGAACCGTTCGCCGTGAACTCCGGTCAGCTGACACATCCCGGCCAATCTCCAGCAGACCCTCCCTCCCAGACCCTCCTACTTCCTGGACAGCATCCATGTTGAAGGCAGCTTCAACATGGATGCTGTCCAGGAGGTGGGAGGATCTGGGAGGGAGGGTCTGCTGGAGATTGGCAGGGATGTGTCAGCTGACCGGAGTTCGAGGCGAACCGTTCGCGAGAAGTTCGCGGACGGTTCGCGACATCTCTAATATTAGGCACTCATTAAAATAAAATCTCAAAACATATAAAATAAATATAATTGGTGGCCTGGCAAAAGTTATGTGTAGCGGAGATGCAATATTACCCAGGATATCTCTGCTTGTAATCCAAGTGAGGCTCAGGAACAAGTAAATAGTAAATCCACAGGCAAGGCTTCCAGCAGGTAAAATACAGCAATATCCCAACAGCAATCCCAATAACTGGACGACACACAGTTTCAGGAGCAGAACTGAAAGCTTTTAATCCACAGTCTCCTTATAAAGCATGCTCCCATGCAAGGGAGGGATTTACAGTAATTATTACAGTAGCCAATCCTGTCCTGGTAACCTCCCACACATCTCCTCCCCTCAGCCAGCATCATAATCCCCTTATCCAGCACACCAATTCCCCCCGTTTCTGGATGTACCCCTAAAACGTAGGGGTACCACTTTAAATCCTACATCCCCGGATACCCCTGATCTGGGTGAACAACATATCCAAAAATCACCCAGATCAGACCAGGGGTTCGGGAAATGTATGGAGGGAATAAAATGACCGACCGCACTAACTGAGATAGCCGAATTCGGTTCCATGAGAATGGGCCCTGCGGTCGGTCATGGCATAAGGGAACAAAATACACGAAAACCTCTAGCTATAGAGGCTA